GACCCTCCAGGGTCCTTTACTGTTTTTTTTGACGAAAAAATTTTTGGTTTCCTTTTTTGGTAGTTTTTTTCAGATGCGAGTTTGTTTGGGAAAGAGTTTTTTTTTATTTTTTACTTATTTACTTAACTTATTAAATAATATTATATATATATAATATAATTTAACTTTTATACGATAATTTAAATTTAAAAATAACATAAATATTAAATTATTAAATATTGAATTTTATTTAATTAAATATGAATAAATAATTTCTATTTTTATTCTATTTATATAGAGAATTTCAAATTAATAAAATTCTTGTAAATATTTAATTATTATTTTTTTAAATTGCAAATATAATATATACATTTTGACAAAAATATATATGTCAAAAATTTTAATAATATATATAGTTCAGAACAAAAAAAAAACACATTTTTTTTCAATTAATGTTTTTAACTATAATTCAATAAATAATTATTTAAATTTTATGCAATTTTACAAAAATATTCTTTAGAATATAAGAAAAAAAAGATATAAATTTTATTGAAAAATATGTATTCATTTAATTTTTATTTATTTTAAATTTAAAAAAGTAAAATTTATTTATAAGTTAAAAATTATTTAAAAAATTATTTAAAAAAATTATTATAAAAAATTTTAATAAGTTATTTTATAAAAAAGCTTAAGTAAAAAATTTTTTTAAATTATAAAAAGTATATTTATAAATTTTATATAAAATAAATAAATTTTTATTATGTAACAAATAAAAATAATATTTAAATTATTTTTTTTATCTAAAAATTACAATTTTTATCCATATCAAATTTATATTAAAAAATAATTAAAGTTTTAGTTAATTATTTTTTTTAGATAATAAATTTAAATTTAAAAAAAATCTTTAAAAAATCTTATTCTTTAAGTTTTAAAGACTATATATTAAAATTTTTATATTATTTAAATAATTTTTTATAAAGTTATAATAAAAATATTAAAGATGTTTTTTTTTGTTCTGGACTGTATATGCTGTATATATAATTTGGTTAAATAATATAAATTGACAAATTTTATAAAATCAAAATATATATTATGAAAAAAATTTAACAATATATATATATATTTGTTTAGTAAAAAATATAAAAAAATTTTAATAAAGTAATTAATTTTTTAATTTTGCTAGATAAAATATTAAGTTTTTAATAAAAGAAAATTTTTTAAAAAATATAAACCAGTCATATATTAAATTATTTATACTGATTTATAGCCAAGGTTTATACTATTAATTTAAAATATGTAATTTTAACAAAGAATTTATTGAAATGTTTTGTTATTTTGTTAAACATAAAAAATATAATGATTTTATAATCGCATACATTAAATTATTTTTTTTAATATTACTATCTTTAATAATATATGGTAAATTTTTCGAACGTACTGCAATGCTGTCCTTTTGACTATTTATACAATCAATTTTTTTAAAGTTTTGTGTATTATTTTAGAAATATATTCTGTTTTCATATAGTATCCTCCTGATATCATATCATACTATTATTTATAAATGCAATAAAGCTTAGAATTCCGAAACAAAAAAAAACATAAGTAACTCTTCATTTAATAAAATAATTATATTTATATATAAATTTTTGTTATAATTTTTCTCTATTGTTGTTGTAAAAGAATATTGAAATCATTATCCTTCGTATTTACTTTCATTATTCAACGTCTAAACTATAATAAACCAGGTTTTCCATAAGAGAATTATAAGAATTCTGAATTTTCATAAAACATGATAAATGCTTCTTTAGAATTTGGTCATTTGTCTAGTTTAGATATTAAATGTTTATGATCAATTTCTTATCATTATTTTGAATATTATGTAAATAATCGGTTTGATTTTATAATTTCTCGATGGCACCTGCATGTTTTTATTAAAAGCATTGATTTATATATTGTGGGGACCTAAACTTGATACTAATCCAAATCATTTTTCGCAACTATTTATTTTGAAAAAAAAATGTCAAGATGATACGAAACGCAGTTTAGAAAAACGAGTAGAGTAGTTTAGATATACAATTTCAAATTCTTTTCTATTTTTTTTTTTTTATGATAGTTGACTCATGCTATTCGGCAGTTTTCCATCGCCTAAATCAGTCAATATCAATACTGTATAGGAAAAATCACTTTTCGTGATCTTTGACAACATCAAAGTCAAGTGATATACACATGATCAAAAAATTTAGTTAAAAAGTATAAAAGGAGCCCAATTATCGTAATTCTTAAATTTTTAATGATGACCACATACTTCGATTTTTCGGAAATAGTGAAAGAAAATGAAAATTGTAAACTTCGCGCATATGCAACGACTGCCGTTCGTAGTTGCACGATTTCCCATATGCTAACTTGTTCGTTGAGAGGCAGTGAACGTAAAGACATTGTTTTCGCAAAGGTAATTACCGATAATTACATAGCATTAATTACTTTTTTTGCTTACAATAATTTCATATGAAGGAAACGGCCTTGGAATTACTGGAAATAGTGGATGAAGGGAAGCTCAATTCGATCATTGAACAGCCCATATTTGGCACGATAAAGGACATTAAGGTGCTTCACAGTATATTTCCGGAACCTGTATTATATGATCCGTTTGAAAAAAAGGAAGGAACAGACTCGGAAAATAACCTTGATCTACGAGTTATACCCGGTCAAGATGTTCTTGTGTGTTTGTCGGATTCCGGAATGTTATTATTCCTTGCCTATACGGAGAGCATTTCTTCATATATGAACAACGGAAAGGCGATCGCGGTGCAAGATGACGATTCTTCAGATTTTGATATCGCAAGGATGACCGGGAAGTTCCAATTGATCAAAGAGGTTAATGTTTATTTTAAACCATTGATGTGAATGATGTTCATCACGATTTCTCGTATACGTACATATATTCAAGAACAATTTCATGAATGAAGAAACGATAGTTTTGTCGATGGATTTTATTAAATATTTATTTATTATTGTTGTTGTTTTATATCAAAAGATACAAATAGCAAAGCCCGGATTTGACTTTAAAGATCTTGGACGCGTTGTTTGTGTTGATCCCATGTAGGTTATCTCCATTTTTATCTAGTATATTATTATCTTCTATTAATTTATAGTTTGCATAATCATTTATTAGGGGTCGTCTAATAGCTGTGGCGGCTTGGTATAATACTTTCCAAATATTTTCGATCCCTAGTGGTTCGATCTTTAATTACGATCCATCAAATAATGTAATGTCTCTCAGTTATATCAACACATTCATAACTTTAGATCTGAATTACTTTATTTCCACTTATTAGACAAAGTTGTATTCACAAGAGGGCGTAATATGGAATATGACATTTTTGTATCCCTCGGATGAATCTCGTGCATTATTGGCGATGGTGGTGGTCGAGTGCGTTTTATTATTCCTCAATTTTGTTAAAGTTTCTACTCCTCATTTAAAAAATCGGCCAATTTTTTTTTTGTCTATAGTGACAGGAAAACACCTCACATCGTGATATATAATTTTTTGGCAACCGAGAAACTAGAAGATGACATGATACCGACAAGTATTCCCAGAGGTAATTTTATGAAACTATATTCGACAAACAAGTTTTTTAATTCGTTTATCTATTTTTATTAGACGCCTTTGTTCCGCTTTTTTGTTTCCTTCCGATGCATCTTATACCTCTTCCAAATTTTCCCGAATGTTTTCTGTTAGTCAATGTGTGTGAAAAAATTTAAGAATAATGATCACAAGAATTATTTAAAATTTTTTACGTTCATAATAATCATAATTTTTATGTGATTAACATCCATGTATTTATTTAGGAAAAAGAGATTTGCTTTATACATGCAAGGCATGGTAAAGTTAAAAGCGGTGATCTTTATCCAAGACCTTTACCCGATCCACAATGTAACTTTATATTGCATTTGATACTCTGCGATTACGCCAAGACTCACATTTCTGCTAAAACAATTCAGCGTTGATGACCGCATTTGCATATCCAATGGATACCTCAGTATTAAAACGCGCTGCCGCATTACCGCACTCTCCAAAACAGTATGTTTACGCTGGCATGGAAAACGGAGGTTTATATCGTATCGACATAATGTCAGAAAAAAGTATTGAGTTTACGCTGGTGCGAAATGATGGGATCAACCCTGTGGGCTCCACCATGACTTCCCTATGCCTTGATCCAGAAATTGGAGATATCATCATAATAGGTGGAGACATGTGTGACGGTGCCGTTGTCAAGGTAATTTCTTTAAAAAATTCTTTCTCCCTAAAAGGAAAATTATTTTTAATTTTTACTTTTTTTAATGTATTAAGGCCAACCCCAAATCCAGAGCCGAGATAACGTATGAGATACCTAATTGGGCCCCCATATGGGATTTTCAAATGCTTGACCTCAACAAGGAAGGCCACAACGTGATATTTTCATGCAGTGGTCGAGGTCGGCAAGGGTCAATCAGGGTAATAAGAAAGTCATTTGGTGTAAATATTCTGTCTTCATCTGATGCAGAATTTGATGGGTAAATTAATCAGATTCGGTTTTCTATTTAGTATACTTTATTTTACTAATAATTAATATTTGCAACAGTGTGGTTTCTCTCTGGAATTTGAAATGTGACGTAAACGATGGTGTTGATACCTTTTTAGCTTTATCATTTATCAATTCAACACGGTTAATGCAAATGACTGAAAACGGACTCAATGATGTTAGTGATCGAAGTGGATTCAATCTTAAAGTGCACTCGATCTTAGTGGCTTCTTATGAACCGGTTCCGGGTTACTTGATTCAAATTCATAAAGAATCGATTATAATATCAAAACCTAATATTGATGGTAAATGTGCTGAAATTCACTGACAAACCATCTTAATTATTCCTCTAAATATATTTCATATGTTCATAGTATTGCATCCTATTACCGAAAATGTTGAGAGATATGAATGGCAGGTACCAGAGAACATGCGCATCGAAGTAGCGGCTGTATGCCAATCCATGGTTTTTATTGGTTTAACGAGTGGAAAGGAGAATGTGATATGTGTTCTTAAACTATATTATGATGCTAAAATGTAAGCTATTGTTTTTCACATTTTATATTGAAAATATCTTTATTTACTAGAATAATAACACTGGTTTTTTTATTAGTAATATCATGACCTTTAGTGACATTGCACATGTAGATTTGGATTGTTCACCTAGTTTTATTCGTTGTTTTTCTGTAAGGTATGCAATGATCTTTTTGCAAAAAAAATTTGTTGAAATAAATTTATTATGTGCATATGAAATGGCTGAAGTTATTGCTAATATTTGTACACTTTAAAAAAAAAACTTCAAGTTCTCTTACACCAGTACCACTTTGTATTATCGGAACTTACAAGACATCGGTAAAATTTCTATCACTGAGCTCAGAAAATTTTTTGACAATACTACACGAGGAAATTTTGGGTAAGGCTTATTAAATTTTGCATTCGACTCTTAACATGTCACTCAATGTTGTTCTAAGCGGTTTGAATTTTATAAAAAGATTTAAAAGACAAGACCATTATACCGGAATCCGTATATCTCATTGGAAACGAGGAAAAAGCTTACTTTCTTGTAGGAATTAGAGAAGGTACAATTGTATACTATGAATGGTCGTGGTCGTCAGGTAAGCTCGGGTTCCTTTTTCTCCCTTGAAAAATATCGTGGTTTAAATAATATTACCTTTTACTCCAGAGAATAAATTGATGTTATCTCAACCAAATTTTCGAAGGATTGGTGCATCTCCGGTTAAATTAATAGTATCCCACCCGAATCTTCCATTATTGGTTGATGAAGAGAATAAGTCAGTTTCAGTGCTAGCACTTTCTGATCGACCATGGAAAATTGAATATTCGCATAACACGGGCTTCAAGTTCGTTTGCGTTAAGTTTAAACATTATGAGCATGTAAGAAAAAAAATTTTCATGAATTTAAAAACACTTTCTCTATCATTTTTCTTTGGTTTATTTATATGAATCAAATGCTACAGTTAGTTTTATGACATTAAAATAGGTACAAGAGGCGACAGTCTTTGACTACGCCAATTTACCCCGTATTTATTTTTTTATCGCCAAAGATTGTCTGAATTTTGTGCAATTAGACAATTTCACAAATGATAATCTAAGAACGATACCAGTATACGACGTGAGTTTTAAATTTTATTACCCAGACACATTTTTCTGTTCTTAAAGCATTTATCACTTTTAGACGCCACGGAGATTAATTTACGACGATTTTTCCAAATTGCTTTTGGTTGCTTGTACGAGTCATACGAAACCTTTTCCCTCATCAGTTCTTAAATTAGTCGACCCTGTGACGTAGGTAGTTTTATTTAAAAAGTCAAACACTATATCAACATTTATATGACATATCCTTTCATGTGACTTAGTGGGAAGATTAATGACACATTTGATTTACAACCTAAAGACTACCCTGATACCCGTGAATCAGTGTATTCTATTGCTGGTAAGTGATTAAATAACTCGAGATCATGCGTGAATTTCAGCTCACTCTTTGCACGTATTCCTCTCTTTTATGGGAGTTTAGAATGGAAATTCACTTCAGAGAGGCAAGAATATCGTTGGTTCTTTATTGGCACTGGACATCATATGGCTAATAAGCATGCTATCGGGCAAACCCCTCCCATTGGTGGTCGCTTCTTAACTTTCACGATCAGTAAAATTCAAGATGAGAATGTGAGCTTGCACATTCGAATCTTACTTATTAATATTTTTGATACCTTTTTATCTATAATAAATTTTTTCTTGTACTTAATATTTAAATAGGAAGCCTCTGGGTTTGTATATAAACTGACAAACAGAATTGTGATCGATGTGGAAGGTATTGTGCATGCAATTTGCCCGTTAAGCGACAAGTTAGTATATCTATGATTGATATTAAAGAAGTGTGTTTTTTAAAATTCTATAAAATCGCAATTACGTTCTTTTAATAAATAGGTATCTTCTTGTAAGCGCAGAAAATACAATGAATTTGCTTCGTTTTGATTTGGAAAAGAAAAAGTGGGTTAGAAATTGAGCTATCTATTATATTTTTTAATATGGTTTATCCATATCTTTACTCGTCACCTTTTTTATAAATAGATTCTACAAAGTTCACGTTCAAAAACTTCAGTGGCAAATTTTGTCAATTAATGTTCATGGAACTCATATTTTAGTGGGCACCAGTCAATGTTCTATCATGTATGAGTTTGTGGCTGAGAAAGAAAGATTCAGACTATTAAAATCGTAAGCCCCTTACCTTTTTTCTACTTACTTTTATTATATTTTATTCTTTATTTACATTGTTTCAAATATGTAGGGAAAGATCAGTTCGATTGAATCTGGAATCAATACTTCTAAGTGAAAATTTTTCAATTGGATCGGACAAAAGAGGAAATGTTTTTGGATTATGGTATAATGAAGGTATAATTCCTAAGAAATAACTTGATTATAAAAATTCTCTAATTTACATACGCATATTCATTTATCCTTTAGCTAGCTCCCCTATTGACTCGTGCTTAGTGCCAGTTTTTTCTTTTAACGAAGCTGAGGCAGTATCAAGATTTCGCTCTAATTTTCATAAGACCCAAGTAAAACCCGATGCAGAAGTATCATCATCAGAAACAAAAACCGAACCCAAGGAGACATCGGCTGATATAATATGGGACGCAAGGCATGATCTTGATGATCATGCTGCTATTGTAATGGGATGTTCTCTTCTGGGAAGCGCATTTATGTTCACAAGAATTAGCATAAAAGACCATAATCTCTTGCTGAATCTACAATTGGTTCTCGAAAACTGGCCAACTACTCGTCCTTGTTTAGGTTCGTTCTTATTAACAATATTCCCTAAATATCTTTTATTAGGCCTTCTTTTACAATTGACATGCTATTATTAACCATTTATTTAGGAAATAACAATGGACGATTTAGAAAAATGTTTCATGAAAATTCCATAAATCATGTAATTGATGGGGAAATGGTGTCCCAATTTTTAAAACTGTCTAGAAGTGAACAATGCAGAATCGTCGATATGCATCCTGAGTTAATCATGGCGGGAACTTTATTTCTCCGCGGAGATCAATTCAAATTAGAAGAGGAATTATATAATAAGCAACACGAAGATATTTTAGAGACCATATTTGATTTGGATGAAGACCATCCAATGACTCCCATACATATCGATCAAAATGACGTCGACGAAATGAACATTGATTTCGAATCCTCGATGGATCAAGACTTCCCTGACGAAAATTTTGAAACTGATGAGACAGAAAATAAAGATGTTGATATATCAAGAAGCATGATTCAAATGGCATCAGCCGAAGAAATTGTGGACGCTTTGCAGTGGGTGTTACTAACTTTAAATAAGCAAGATCATTAGATGATTAGTTTCACGGATTTTTGAATACTTTTGGTTTATTTGCTATGTAAATTATGTGTAAAAATAATTTTATTGCATACCTTTGTTGCTACTTTTTCACTTATTAGATGGGAAATCATTCCCCCTGAAAATAATTGCATAATATAAGTAAAGTGACCTAGCTACTGTATTGGCTTGAAATTGTTCTCACATTATAAATGTTCTGTTCTAAAGTTTTGGAAGTTTGATTAATTTCAAGATTAAATCAAAGCTGTATTCTTTCTTGAATAAGCAATAACAAAACCATTTAATGCAAAAAATTAAAAAAAATGTGGTATTTTTCCAATAAAGTAAATCACTAGTGTGATATAATTTATAATTACTCAATATACAGAGATTAAGATTAAAATGGCTCAGTACGTACAAAACATACAAATCTCAATATACGTGAAACATGTGATCAAACATTTATCACTCTTAAATAATCATAAATCGTGTAGTATATCATCTATAAAATCCGACAAATGGTTTTCTTATAAGCTATTCTATCCTTTTTAGGATGGTTGGAACGCATTACACTATTTCGTACAATTCCAGGCATATCCTTTATTTAGTTAATCTTTCAATTTATAAATAATATAACCTTCAAATATTTAAATTATATACAGTGTGGTGCAAAAAAAAAAATCAGAATTATATATTTACTTATTTTTTTTTTTTTTTGAAGAAGCGGGCGGCTCCCCGTATATATTTTTATTATAAATTTTAGACTTGTAACAAGGCAA